TCATGGATTACAAAAAAATCGAATCAAGTATTACAAAAAAATCTATCATGGATTAAAAAAAAAAAAAAAAAAAAAAAAAAAAAAAAAAAAAAACCCGTAAACGGACTCGCCGATTCCGTACAGTGAATCGGCGAGTCACTGTACAGAATCGTCCGGTTCTCTCTAGAACCGGATGATTTCCGATTTTTCAGCCGATTCGATCCACTTTTGCGATTTCCGAGTCGAACCGGGCGAGTCCAGTTCGACTCGGCGTTTTTTAAAACACTGATTGAAACCATCGTGCCCTGACAACCCAGCGTTTGTCAAGGTACGTGGTTTTGGAAAAAGTGTACTATAGTCCAATGGATTATGGGGAACCACGGTCCATTGGGTTCATCAATATGATGAATAGTAGTTTGGATAGAGTGGGACCCATCAATGGGGTCATTTCTTTTCGGGTGGGTCCACTTCTCTCTGTTGCTGTCTATCGATTCTTTGAATGGTTCCATGTCATTAAATTTCAGTAATTTATAGTTTATCTGGCTGACTTTGAATTGTTTTCTCTGGTCATGTGCAGTCATTGCATGTGGTAACTTTGCTGTGCTGGGAACTCAAGGCGGTTGGATTGAACGCTTTAATCTACAATCTGGTGAAAGACGAGGTAGCTATGCGGAAAATTACGAGCAAAGAAGGTGGGCTTATGATGGTGAAATAGTCAGCCTTGCCTGTGATGCCACAAACTGTCACTTGATAAGTGCAGGCTATCATGGTGATATAAAGGTCAAGGACCATTCTTTACTCGAACTGTGCTGTTTCTTTATTTTGCACCACATAACATATTTCTTTTGTTATTAGCCGTCTGAGGCATACTTCAGTTCTGATGTCAGAAATTGGTTATTATGTACATTACCTTGACATCTTGAATGAGTTTTCCTAGTTACATGGACACTGCCCAACTGTCTTGTTGTGGACAACGAGTCCAACTGCTACTTCATGCATAAAAAACCATTTTGGCTCACTTTTGTTGCTGTATACACTTACATGTGCATGTGTGTGTATTTTTCTGTCATTAGTAATTACCATCATTCGTCGCACCCAAAAGTTGGGGTTCTGTGTTTGGACACTTTGTTTTCTTTTAAATCTGTCTGCCTTGCTTATAAATGTGACGCTTGTTCAGTTGTTTGTAGTACCTTATGTAATGTAGCAGTATGAGTATTAGCTCAAGATATGGTTCAACTTTTCATTTTCACATTTACGTTGATCTGTATCTATTTTTCATATTTCTTTGTATATAGGGGCTTGAAGTGAAACATAGATGGGAAGTTGGCCGCCAAGTGGTTAAGTTTGTCTATCATCGCAGTCCAGAGGGCATATAGTATTGGGAAATACTTCTATGCTTTCCCTATAGCATAGAAGTTCTATCTTTCCCTTACCATTCAGCTGTCCAATTTTGATCAAGAGAGTCACTCACCGTTTGATCTTAGATCCGACGTCTCAAAGTATTTTATTTTTAGTTTTTTTTTATACAAATTGTATGAATATGAAATTTGGTACGTGCCATATTTTCTTTTGGGCACACTTATAAAAAATATTAAAAATAATTTTTCAAAAAAATATAATGACCAAACTACCCTTTGAAATTTTTAAGGGTATTTTTGTCATTTTATTTTATTGAAAATATATTTTTTATATTTTTCACTAGTGTGAGTTTAATAGAGGAATGAACTTTCAAAACTTGGTGTCAAAATAGTTTATAGAAAAAAAAATAAAAATAAAATAGCGTAGAGATGTGACGTTGTGATTGGGGCAATGTTAACCCTCCATTTAGAATGGACGGTTGGATAAGAGGGAGGATAGATGTAGGGGAAGCATAGAAATCTTGTCCTATATGCCTTTGCAACGGTGGTTATGAAAAGTTATGATTGCCTTTATGTTTCAATTAGTTAAAACTAGTATGATGCATTTGTTTTGCTGCTCTCATTAAAAGGTTTTATATAATTAATATACTTTTTAGGGGGGGGGGATGGGGGGGGGGGGATGGGGGGGGGGGGGAGGGACGAAACCATAGTGAATGGGACAATATTACAATTTTCCTCTCTTTATGCTGGATGCTTGAACAGGAGTAAGTCTCATTAAAAGGGTATTTGTCGGGTAATATTGATTTAACTACATTTTATAAAAATATAATGAACGACAAAATATAAAGATTTACAAGAGATTTAGGAAACACAACCTAGAGAGAAAAGAGGGAGGCACACCTCTCCCTTATTTAGGGATATTTTCTCTTTCATCCGTTTCCCTTGTTTAAGGTTTTTTTCTTTTTCATCCCTTTCCATGATTTTGGCTATGTTTCCTAAATTTAAATCAAAATAAAATTTCTTAAAAATGGGAAAAGTGATGAATGCGACAAAATCAACTTCCTAACTTTGTCAACTTACAATACAAAGCTTCCATTAAGATATGAAGATTTAGGATCGGAAATATGGAGTCTCTCTCATTTCCTAATTATCCTAGAAAGATTATAGGATCCTAGAGAGTTGTAACGAGAGACCTACCTCTCTTCTCCCTATATCTCTCATTAAATTCGAAAAAGGTGATCAATTTAAACTCCAATCAAACCTACTATCATCATTATCATAATCATCTAGCCTTTTCCAACTATTTGGGGTTGGTTGCACAAATCTTGTTCTTCATTCCACTCTATCAAGGACCATACCTTTAGTCAGCCCATAAGTCACTTTTTAACCAAACCTTCTAAGAAAGGGGGGGGGGGGGGTGACTATCTGCAGTTGAATAGCACAAAGTACAAAGACCCTTCTAAGAAAGGGGGATGAGAGGGAAAGAGAGTAAAAAACAAAGACTTCTTTTTAAATGTTACAATGTTAGGACAAGGGCAACCAAGAAAAGAAACTGATCTAAAAATCATATCTACAATCCATCAAGGGCTGCCACCTCATTGTCGGCTGCTTGGTTGGCCTCCCTCCTGATATGCTTCCATGAGACACTCATAGTCCTTCATAGGTGATAAATCTCATAAAAAATATGAGCTAGAACACAAGGAGGAGGGGTAGATTTGTTGGCCCAAGTTATAACATTCTTGGAGTCTCCTTCGACAATCACTAAGGGAATACAGTGAAGATGAATGAGTTTTAGTCCCTCAAGGAGTGCCAAGGCCTTAGCTTCCATAGAGTTAGTGTGGCCAATATTCTTGGACAAGGTGGCAATAGTAGCTCCCAAGTGATTCCCAAGGACAACTCCTACTACCGCAGGCCCTGGGTTTCCCAAGGAACACCCATCAAAGTTCAACTTATGTTGGCCCAGGTCAGGTGGTCTCCAATTTGTCGCCGGAAGAGTGTGCCTCTTTCGATACTGCAAAATGGTGACGCAGTCCTGGTGAAAGGCTGCGGGAGGAACCCCTTTGAAGCCCTTGTGGAGCGTTTCCCAAAAGACAAGCTTAGATTTCCGTTTAGCAAAGGTCCCTAGGGTAGGGGAACATTCCCCTTGGAAAATTCTCTTGTTGTGCTCCAGCCATAGTGACTAAAGAGTTCTAGCCACGAGTGATTTCCAAAGAAGAATTCGAGCCTTAGGCCAATGAAAAGGTTGGATAGCACAAGGGATTTGAGAAACTGTCTCTGGGAGAACCTACTGGACTTGAAAGAGTATGAGTAAATTCCCCCACAATTGGTAAGTGTAAAGGCATGGGGGTTTGACTTCTCAAAATTAAGGCAAAGGGCACAATGGTTGGTTAGAGAAATACCTTGACTCTGGAGGTGATCTACCGTGAGAACCTTTTGAGGAAAAGCCCACAAAAAGACTTGGATTCTGGGAGGGGCGAAAGATGACCAGGTCTGGGCCACCAAAGAAGTTGGGTTATGTGGGAAAATAGGTGGTTGGGTGAGGTTGAGGTACAAGGACGAGATCGAGAAAGTCCCTGAGGCATTAGGGGTCCAGATGATGCTGTCTGGTCTCTGATGGGCTAGAAAGCAGAAGTGAAGGATATCTGCCATTTCAGAAGAAATGGGGATCTTAGAGTCAAGAAGCGCACGCCTAAACACCGGGTTCCAGACTCTAGAGGAGTGGACCACATGGATTTCCCCTGCGACCATTGCTTCTTGATTGCTTGTAATCAACTAGATTTCTGGGAATCTCTCCCTGATGGTTGATTGATGTAGCCAAAGGTTATGCCAAAATAGGAACCTATTTCCCTCAACCTTTGAAAGACTGAAATGTGGAACAAATAGAGTTAATTCCAAAGGATCTGTAGTAGGTTTTGTTGATAGGTAGCCACGAGGATTGTGGTATCCTATATTTACACCTCAGAATATCGATCCAAAGGTGTCACCTGAGGATAAGTAGGCGCCACGACGACTTACCCAGGAGCGCAACATTCTGCAACCTAATATTGTGGATTCCGATGCCTCCCAATCACTTGGGAAGACAAAGTTTATCCCATTGCATGAGGTGGTACTTGTGATTAACAGTGTCACCCACTCAAAAGAATATGCAAATTAGCTGCACAATCCTATTGCTGACCAGCACATTCATCCGAAATAAGGACATTTGGTAAACTGTGATATTTGCCAGAGTAGCATTTATAAGAGTAAGCGTACCAGCAAGGGATAGGAAACGGCCCTTACAACCAACCAATTTGCAGTCAGCCTTGTCTAGAATGTGCAACCATTGCCTCTTTTTGGGTTTACCCATGTGCAGGGGTAAACCAAGGTAAGTTGATGGGAGGTTGTCCAAATTGCAACCCCAACTTTCCGCAAAAGCGATCAAAGTTAGGGGGTGCATAGCTATACCCATCATCTTAGTCTTCTGGAAGATAACTTTGAAGCCAGTGGAAAACTCAAAACATCAGAGAAATAGAAAGAGGTTATGGAGTTCCTCGGGGTGTGCATTGCAAAAGATCAACGTGTCGTCTGCGTGTTATAGGTGAGTTACCATGGGTCCTTGGTTCCCACAAGAGAAAGCAGTCATAAGCCTGACAACAAACATCCTGTAAATAGATTAGCTAAATACTTTAGCAGAGATAGCAAAAAGAAAAGGGGAGAGGGGTTCCCCTTGTCTAAGGCCCTTAGAGGAGGGGAAAAAGCCCTTAGGGGACCCATTGATAATAATAGAGAAAAAGGGATGTGAATAGTAGGCTTTCATCCACCCTCTCTTCTGATTTCCAAAATCCATCCTACGTTAGATTGGCCCAATCATCTCGATAATATCCTTTTTTCAATCTAATTTCATAATAATACAAGAGACCTAGCGATGTGTCAGGAATGAATACATTCGTGGGCCACTAAGGCCCCGTTAAGGATCAGGTGATCTTTGACAAAAACACTTTGAGAAGGAGATATCACCAAGGGAAGCATTTCCTTTAAACGAGTAGCCAGAACCTTGGAGATAATTTTGTAGGTAGAGTTGACCAGGCTTATGAGTCGGAAGTCTTTAAGGAGTTGCGCACCTTCGATCTTTGGGACCAAAGTAATAAATGTAGCATTCATAGCCCTATGGATGACTCCCTTGGAGTGTAATTCATTGAAGAGGGCTAAGAAGTCTCTTCTAAAGGAGTCCCATAAGAGTTTAAACGGGGCGATTGGGAAGCCGTCAGGACTCGGCACTCTGTCGGCAGCCAGGTTAGAGATTGTTACTAAGATTTCATCCTCCAAGAAAGGCCATTCCAACCAAGTGGTTGATTATGGGGGAAGGGAAAGAAATTGCAGGTTGCCCATAGTGGTCCTAGGGCTCTGCGAAGCAGTTAGGAAATTCTGAAAGAAAAAAGTAATGGGTTCTTCAATGGCCTTGGGCTCGTCAAGAGTAGTATCCCCTACCCACAATTGGGATATAGTGTTATCTCTACTTCTGTAGTTTGCCGTTTTGTGGAAGAACCCTGTATTCAGGTCCTTAGCCTGCAACCACTTTATTCTCGATCTCTGAAACCAATACATCTCTTCTTTCTTTAGGATAGACTGGTTCTCATGTTTCAAATTAATCCTTCGTTGAAATTTCGGAGGGAGTAGGGGTCTTGACTCTTCCAAGACATCCAGTTCTTGAATGGCCTGCAAAGCTTTAGATTTTTGAGATCCAAAAGACCTCGGAAGGCGACGACTCCATGACTTTAAGTTGGTCTTCAAGAGTTGCAGCCTACGCTAGATTCTAAAACCTGCTCATCCGACCACCTAATGCAAGAAAGATGCCGACCATGAAGGAATAAGAGAGGACAAGGACCTTTCTTGGAGCCATGAAAGTTCGAAACTAAAAGGTTTGGGATCCCTAGAGGCAGGTTTGTTCAACAGAAGTGGGCAATGATCCGAAGTTGGTTTGAGCAGTGCCAACACATAGGAACCGAAAAACGTAGAGTCCTAGTCTAGGTAGACCAAGA